AGTCGACTACGTTTCTATTGCGATTGTATGGTCATTAGCAAAAAAGGTGGACGAATGTATGCACATTAAATGCACAAACGATGCACTAACTAAACTTGACCAGCCCACTACCTCCAAGATAAGCGCCACTTCATCAGCAAACGACTGTCCTTTGTCTTCGTCTGTGTGTACGTGTGTGTGTGTGTACGTGGTGGACTGTGGACACAATGACTCGCTCGTTGAGGCCCAAACAGCCACCAAGGCTGACATCTACCCACACAATGTGGTGCAACTCAAACGTGTGCAACAATACCTTCGTTTCCACTTAGAAACAACCTAGACTAGTCCCTCATTCGGGCACCATTTATAGAAGTAGAAAAAATCGTCCTAAAAATAAGTGGGGAATGAAAAGTTCAGCTAGGCAACAATCCAAAGTGATCAGCTGACGCGCCTCTTTAGTCTTGCCTTCACTTATGTTTTCCACCAAAAGGGGTGTGGAGAAACTTCTGTTTGCTTCATTGTCCTCCCTTCTTATTGGAAATTATCAGCAATCTGTTACCTGTAACTGAACGAAATCGCTGCCTTCTGACACCAAGACTGAATGCTTGCACTCACAAGGGGGCGATCCTAATTGGTTATCATTAACCCAGTCATAGGACTCAAATTAGGCATTATCCAATCACGTGGAGGCAAATAATCCAGGCTTGGTATTGGCTCCTTGCCTAGTGACCAACAGAAGAATGTCAGTCTTAAAAGTGTGTTGAATAATCAATAAAAGGTATTTACTAGACAGGTCAAATGACAAGCGGTAACCAATACTTATTAATAAATAAATCAGGGATGAATTAATTGGAATCTTCATTGTTCTATACCAGAAGAAGTACTTTCAAAAGTGGCTTCAAAACAATTTTTTAATAAGTCAGACCTTGAAAATGGAGTTTAAGTAGGTTTCTTGCTTTATTATTGAGTAGTGCATTCGTCATTAGAACCTCGGAGAGAACATTGACCACCAAGTTCCAGATAGTTTAGTGGTCTCACATGACACCAATTATCACCAGTTTTTTGGCTGATGTAACTGCCACTCAAAGACTCAATTCGCATCCATACTCAGACAAAGAATCGAAGCACCACGTGTGTGACGGTAGTAGTGAAAATGTCAACTCATAGGCGTTCTCAAAAATATTTAAAATGCCTTTAAACATCTGCCTGTGGAACTGGGTAGGCACATGTCTCATTTGTGCGGCGAAATCTGGCAAGCCTCACTGCAAAAGAAATACAACAGCGTCTACTTTTGGTTACTTCCCGACTTCGAGTCAGACACCAATGCTTGTTGATGTAAGAAGATCGAGTTTAAAACAATCATGCTTGACATCTAAGAAAGGTTTACTGACATTATCCATGACAAAACAACTAATATCAACCACAAAAAGTGATTGAGGTATAGAAGTGTGTTAGCTGTAGACTCCCAAATGGATACTTTCCCTGTGCATCTTGATGTACAGAAGTCCCAACCAAACTACGGCCTGCATTATCATCATCACCACCACCAAGAGGTAGCATTCTCTATCCGCAACGATTTTATCATACCATACTGTCTGCATTAGGACCACCGGTTGTATCCGCAACAGAAGGATGACCATGATGTCCTCCGCGGGGTAGGAGGGTGTGCAACAAGTAGCCAGTTGCATAAACGTGCATCAGTCTTCGCGACTTGTGTTTCTGTTCTGGCGACATGTGCTTGCTCATTAATCTTCCATACCGATGTGGTCAATGTAATTACAGGTTGTCCAAACGAAAAGCGTTGTAAGTCTCTGATTGGTGGACAGGAGACTGGAAAGTTTGCATTGATTAGAGTGCTGACCGCTCAAGACCTGACAGCTGAAGTGGTTATTGAAGTAGCCCTTGATCAACGGGTTTTTCTACTCTATCCATTGGTTCATTTGTACTACAAAGTGGGTAAAGTATTTTAGTTTCTTTCTAATGAGGTCTCAACTAGGGTCAAGAGGGGTTAAATTTGTTCTGCGTAATGTTGAAGTAGATAATTTTTGGCATTCATTTGAACAGACTTCTGTAATCAATACAATACAAGTTCTACATCAACTTCTGACATTTTTTCACGAAAAAAATTCATGCTAAGGCTCTGCCTGGAGGTTTTATGGGATCTAATGCTATTACGCTGCGAAAACGGAATGTGATAGGTAGGCTATGGTTTTATGTTTATGTCCATAAAGGAATGCAAGGATATTGCCTTTGCCTCATTTCTACGTTCATTTAGGTTGGTACTTTATCCTCCGAAATCTTGGTTTCAGGGTGCCAGTTTCATGGTCCATCGGTAGGCACATATCAAACGTCCTTCCATTTTAATGTATCATGCCAAGTCATTGGAAAAGAATCGGTGTTCCGTGTAAATGAAGTAAAGTCATGACAACCACCTTCACTTAATCATTCCTGAAGTTCCTTAAAAGATTAGGTGAGGGTCAAATTTCCGGTGGATATTTGGTAATGCTTTCTAAATAAAGAACTGGGATTATAGGGTTCAAGAGGAAAGCCCCCAACAACACTTTATTCTCCTAGCAAATCAACACCATTAATTACCTTTAGCAGGGGATGCTTACAGCCCCAGAAGAGTGGCCACAACAATTCAAGTCTTTAGGTGCCTAATCCCCGAACATTCCAGAACAATCTCGTTGGGCTTCCCCTGATTGGCCAATACGGCGAGGGGACGCACATCACACGTGCCAATGCTTACTTTAAGGTCAAGGTCATTTAAAAGACATAAATATGGGGAAATTATGATGGCTTTTTGCTTCAATCAACGAGGGTAAAAACCTGTCGCCTGAAGTCTTTACTTTCTTAGATTTTCTAGTTGGCATCGCGATAATGTTCGTGTTCACGCACGCACATGCATGTATACACACAAGTCTCGACAGTAATTCATGATTCCTTCCGAACGGGACGCAAACTGGTAGTGAATTTCACTTTTGGGTAGTGTCTTGACTCTTGTAGTGAACACCCCAATCCCGAAAGGAACACCAAGGAGATTCTGGGGAGAGACACGAGCGGCGAGTGAGTGCCAACTCTTGGTGAAAAATTGCGTCTACCGTTCACCACACATCCACGCAGATTCCGCACGGTCGCTTGCCATAGTTGAAATTCAAGGTTCATTGTTCTTCGCGATTCTGTTGGCCAACAACCTGCAATCAACACACTTTTATAGCACCCATAAAAGGAGTGAAGCACACACTGATCATCTTGAAATTCTATGCAATCTGTTGTCAACGCCTGTGACACTGATTTGTTTAGCTTTCGCGACCTTCCCCATCAATGAAAGCAAGGGCTTCAATGATAGCTGCAAAAAGAATGGAGATAGAGGAGAGCGCAATGAGGGGTATTGTACCGATAGGTAGAGGCATGTCTAAGGCTTTACACAACCCTACAAACACTTAATTGCAAAGTTAAAGGGCCCTTATGTTAACACAAAGTTCTTGCAGTGGTCTGGACCGCAGTAACTTTTTCACTCATCTGAACAGTCGTGATGGTTGTCAACCATCAGTTTCAAGTTCTTCGTGCTGTAAATCGTAAGGATGATCCTGGTTTCTGTGCTGCTGGCACGCACTCCCCATCCATAATGCCCAGGGCTTGACAAAACGGTGATACTTACCTTCGGATTAACTTCAGAGAAGGTATTTCGAAAAGATCTCCCCACTTCTAGACTAACAACTCTCACTTATAATCACATACGTCGATTCTTTTGCCGCCGAAAATTAATCGCAGGAGTCTTTACGTCATTGTCAAGTCCACCACAGACCCGGTGAACTGTCACGTTTGCACAGTCACCAAACTCCATGATACCTGCGATTGCATCCTTTTAGGAACGTTACCATCAGACAGTCGATTTTCAAAATTGAGGAGACTTTTAGATCCGTGTCTGGAAGATGGGGTGAAGGAAAAAAGTACACCCTTGACAGTCTAATTTGATCAGAAATGTCATATTTGTGAAGTAACTAAAACATGTATAAGTAATAAAAGGTGCCGAGTCAATGGTACTCTTACCTTCTCTCCTCACCGTTTAAACGCCAGACTAGTCCATTCCACCAAGCCTCCACCTCCTAACTCTACAGTCCGCGCAATTCCAATTGAATGGTCGAATATTTACGTGACTCTGTTAAACCTCAAATTGTCCGTTTGTTAACTTATTAGAGGCGTTCATAGAGAAGTTCCATTTCTATTTTCAAATCCTGAATTGTGGGGAAATGGGAAAGAGGGGTGCGGGAGGGGGGGGACACCCTCCATAAACTTTACTCCTACTGAAGATTTAGCTAAGAATTATGTACGAATCAGCTCAAAACACCCAAATCACTGTGGAATAACTGGTTTTTTATGTAAAAGAAACGAAAGAGTCAAATTGGTTTAAGAATTCATCGTAGTACTTAGCAAATAGTGCAAAAACTGACGACAAAACAAACTTTAAAAGGAGGTATTGCAAACTCATCCAAAAAAATACAAGTGACATTTTACTGTCTGAAAGTTAAAGACTGGAATTCATCATTTGGTTCTTACATCTATGAATTGCTAATAGGTGCGAAAGAGGCCATCTGTAGATTGCCCACATTTTGTGCCTCTGTTAGGCAGTCATTGGAGTCCTAGACAGTTGGTTTGGGCGTTCTATCAAGATTGATGGTGGTTACATTGACTATTCAAGTGATCTGGGAGTATGTCCCTGCTTCACACAGCAAAAGCATGATTAATCATGACGTTGTGCATCTTTAAAGCATTAATAACAGATTCTAAATATTTTTCTTTTCAAAAAATTTTCACATATCTCTTCATGGACGATAATGTAGGGGGGTCAATACAAAATAGCAGAGGTTTCGTGCGTCATGCGCGCAGACAACAGGGCGGCGGAAGAGGAGAGGAGAAGGAATTGGAAAATTCAAAGAAGGGGCAAGATCGTGTGCGGTTGTTTTGCGGACATTCTTCGAAGCAGCATCATCTTCTTTGGCGATTTTAGTTCACCTATCTCATGGAGAGACTCTCTCCAAAGGTGCGGACAGCGCAGAGGAGGTCGACGAACTGTGTCTCTCCCGTTCAGATTGACGCCGATGACGATGGAAGAAATCAAAAGCTCCTGGTTGCATCACCTCACCACTCTCCGTTCCCTCTTCTTCCTCGTCTGAAGAAGACCCAGCACCTCCTTCCACGTCACTTTCTGCGTTCTCATGGATATTGAAAGCAACAGTTCGATGCGATTTAGCGACAGCTCCATCTGCGACGGTAGCAGCAGCTGTGACGGCGCTGGACGAGGCAGAACAGGGTGGATGTGGGGAAATAGAAGGAAATTTTTGGTCCTCGTCCCATGGGAAGTAGCAGCGTTGGCGAAGCTCTATGGCCTTGCGGCAAATGTGGCAGTGGGTAAGACGCAGTCCACATTCCTCGCAGCTCAGGTGACCGCAGGGAACGAAAACGCACTTTACAGGACGGTCCATGCACACGCGACACTTTACCTCCTCTCGACGCCAGCGTTGAAGCATCTCTTGTACCTCCTGAAGGCGAAAGAATTGGGTTCTCAAATATTTAGATCCCATTTTACAAGAGGGAGTGTTGAGTGCTTTGGTGACAAATTTGTCGATTCATTGTTTGACCAAGAAATGATTTTTGCAATGGGTAATTTCTTCCGTTTCAGCATTTCGGAGATGTTTGTTTACGTTCATTCCGTGTCCATCGATCCATCTTTTAATGTGGAATTTGTTTTTGAGAGTGCTTTCAATGGTCATTGTTTATTAATTTTCTTACGTCATACCACTTACAATAATGATCTCTCAGTCTTTCGATACGGTGAAAATAAAGCCATTTCCAAACTTTAATGAGTAACTGGAGAACTACTATTATTTTAAATCATACCTCATTTCCTCATCAGCACCCATTTTACGGATTTCGTTTGTAGGATAGCAATAGTTCTGTCGATTAAAACTATGGAGTAAGTAGCCCCAAAATTAACTGGACCCCACACTATTCAACACCTTAGCCGAAACCCAAAAAAGCAACACCAAGAGTGAAGTATTTGTGGGCAGGTTCATGGAGGTAAAAAAACTATTCCTACTTAATGACGAAGTAAGTCTGCAATTGTGGCATAAACTGACGAAGAGAAATAGTAAAATGTTCTAAGGAGTGATATAAAAGCACTGCTTTTTGAAGAACGGTGTTACCTTTTATTCACTTCTTCCAGACACTCGGTTTTATAAAATCTGTGCGTTTAATGTCGGAACGTTGAGCATTCCTTATGGCTGGGGTGATATCGCGTTCCAGGTTTGGAGCCTCTCCATTCTGGTGCACTTGCCATAGTAGGCACACCTCCACACCGGTGTTTCTTACTGCCTTCCTAGTGCTGCATCATTTTAAGTGAGTTTTAATGTCTCCTAAGGATTTGCTTTTCCAACGAAATGCTCTATTGGATGCAAAAAGTGGTGAGTAATTAACAGTAGATGTTAAAAGAAACAGAAATTTGTCGCAAAATTTCAAAACGAAAATAATCATGTCTCCGATTTTACTCAGTTCAACTCATTTTAATCCACCTGTCAAGGTTACTTCCGTTCTTTTCGCTGCTAAGATGTGACAGTAGTTTAAAAGAATACGCCACTTTGGAGCTAAAACAAATAGGTTGTCGGGTTTATTTCCTGTATTAATAAAGAAAAATTTCATTTACGGAAGGAAAGCCTATTACCCTATCTCTCTCCCTTCGTAATAGTAGTAGCGATTGGTCCACAACTAATACCTGCTCAAAATCCCCCACGATGCAGTCGTCGTGACTGCTTCCGCTGGATCCTCACAACTCGGCAGATCAGAGTTCCCTTGTTTAAAAGTCTATTTTACAAAAAATTGCTGCAATTCTGCAAACGAATTTAAAGTTCTCTTTGAAATTAAACGATTGTTATTTTGAAAAGGGACCACAAGAGGGAGGAGCAACATTCTGGGTGAGGGGGTAGCAGAAGAACTGAATAGCTGTTTCATCTGTCGAAAAGCACCTCTAAGACCAATTTACAAATGGGTTGGTAGCCGGCAGCTTATTAAAACGTGTTACATCGCCCCCTTTTACGCATTTTGCTCATTAACAGTTGCTGGGGCGAGTTGAATACGTCTTAGCAATGCCTAAACGTCAGCTCGGCACAATAACGCATCCGCCATCAGGAGATCGAAGGTGTTCCATTGCTCTCCTGTGGCACCGATTTGCACAAATTTTCTGACCAATTTTTATTTCCAAATCAAAAACATTCCTGTGGTGCAGCCAATTTGCATAGACATAAAAAATACGCGTCACATATGCTTGACGCCGACAGTGAACGCCTTAAGACTAAAATGTTGTATGAAACAAGGTGGAGAGAAATACCCCATTTTGCACAATTTTGATTACCACTTAACCGTGTACCTCCAAAGTTCACTCCTGGAAATCTACAACAAATGGTGGGATAATTTTTTGCACCTGTGGAGGTATCTTCAAATGATCTCTATCAGCAGCTTTCTATTTATCTTCAATATCTAAAATGAATACTTCCAAGTAATTGATTAAAATCCATACACGAATAGGGAGGCAGTTTTAGAAATTATTTGAAAATGGAGTGGCCTTTATGAAAGCTTTTACTTAAAAAATAAGATGTATTTCCTCAGGAGTCAACTTTTTTCACGGCGACTTCCGATCCTTTTAGAATATTGGATAGCGTTCGCGAGAAAATTGCTACATTTAACGGCCGATGAGTCCCCATTCATTACTGACCATCCAAAGCGATGGGACACTGGTCAAACTCAAAGTGGTTGTTAGATATCTCGCATTGTGGAATAGATACCAGACCGTGCAGTGATTCTGCAAGCCTGCCTGCCCGTATCCCAATCCCAAGGTTTCCCTGTTCACGCACCTAGCGAACGGCCACTGCGTGATGTGTGGCCTCAAGGTCACCCCACCAGCCAATTACTTCGCAGGACAGTGGAAAATGACCCTGGCGGAGCGCGTGTCTCGTTTGTGTTGGTACGTGATGTGACACATCGTGAAAGGCAGAAAGTAATCAAATGGGGAAAGAGAGAAGTGAAAAGTAAATTGAGGACTGGAAAAAATTATGCGTCGAATTGACCCAAAATATCCAAAAACTTTTCAAAACTGAGAAAAAAATACATCCTTTCCAATAGCCTTAATGAATCCTGACAAGAAAATTGGGAAAAACCACTATAATTCCGATTTTGCAAAGCGCTAAGCTGGACATAGACTGAAAGGGGAAAGGGAGGGGGGAAATGGGGATTGGGTAGGAGTAGATGTATAGGTAGAGCTTGGACTGCAACTGGACGATTTTCGAAACAGCCAGTTCCAAACTGAATTCACCTTTTCTCCTAGCCTTAGTTACGTGAGCTAACAAAGTCAGTGTGTTACCATGAATCGAAAAACTGTCAAAATGTCTAATTCGAAGTCCTTTCGAAAATGTCCACAATGATTCCAACAAATCATCCTGATATTTTGATTGTATAAGCAATTTTCAAAAATCATTTTAAATGGACCAGGTAGAATTTAGAATGATGAAAAAAGCACCTATTTTTCCTAACTCTGAAGGTCGCTAACCCTGTAGTATTCACTTTCAAATCCCGAGACCTGTAAAATTTTGAGTGTGCGATTTGGCAGAATGGCTATGTCATTCATTATTGTGTCACAAGACGCATTGTTTCCGGTCAACAGAATCCGGCCGTCCATCCCGTATTTATCCATCCGTAAGCTGCATCCGTAATCCATCTCATCAACCAGGCTCCATGGCCTCGTGAAAAATGTCCCCCTCTGTGGTTTCAATTTAAACGGATTTACGTTGCCTCAAAAGTTTGGAATCGACGTCCGACCTCCCGGAGCAATTGTGAATGAGCATAATTTTCATTACTGGGAGTGACCGTGAGTTAGTGGATGGCGCAAATGCTTCTCCATTGTCTATACACCTTGCTGACTGCGAGAGAAATGAGTAAATGACCTTCAATGTGGAGTCACTACCCATACACCCCTAGTCCGCGTTAGCACATTGTCGAGTGTCAATTAATCACTCAAAGGGCGCAATCAAAATGTCTCCATGGGCGTAGTGAAAGCTTTAATTGCTCTAATCAACCCACTTTATTCACTCCCAAATTAGTGTAGGAAACTGGACGGAATCAGTTGACCCACATGAATACCACCTTTTGAAGAAACATTAGTTTTTTGTTTCCAAAGCGTCAAAAAATGAGAAAAATCAACGTTAATACTTACTTTTTTTTCCAGCCGGGCGTAGGCTTACGAAGAGCACTTTTAATAAAAGTCCTGTCTAGTGGTAGACACCTGCACTTCTATGCCGCTTTGATCATCCCGCTGTCTACTCTATTACGCACGTGGTCATGTGACAGCCTGGATACAAAGGAATGCAATGTTAATCACTTTTTTACAACTGAGGAGAATCAGAGGAGGATGGGGATGGGACATTGTCTACTTCCCAGTCCTAAAATGCAAATCTTCTCACCGAATGCAAAGCAAGGTGGGGAGTTTGGCGTCACCAAGTAGGAATAACGCTCTTACCCCAATGAGGAACTAGTCTGGGTTGTTTCTAAGTGGAAACGAAGGTATTGTTGCACACGTTCGAGTTGCACCACATTGTGTGGGTAGATGTCAGCCTTGGTGGCTGTTTGGGCCTCAACGAGCGAGTCATTGTGTCCACAGTCCACCACGTACACACACACACACGTACACACAGACGAAGACAAAGGACAGTCGTTTGCTGATGAAGTGGTGCATGTCTTGGAAGTGGTCAGGGGGGCCGTGAGTGGATTGTTTGGGGGGCAACCAATGGCATGCCTCTTCCACAAACGTTGAAACACAAAAGGCACGTGACACAGGTCAGTCTGTAAGTACTCTCCCCTCAACACGCGTTCTCGAAAACCTCAGGAAGCAAAAAAACGATGGCTGCCCCGTGTTTGTTTACCACCTGTGCCCTAAACCCACTAGCTTAAGTTCCATCACATTCATTAATGACACTAATGTAAATGTGTTTGTTTCATTCCCCACAGTTGTGCATGGCAAGCTGTTTCCAACTCGACGTGTGAAAGGCGTTACGTAATGCCTCGCTACTACCTTTAAATACCTCATCATCAAAATCATCATCGTCCGTTTTTTTCTTTTTGCTGTCTGTTTTATTGAGATAAATCATCATCGTAGGGGGACGGAGACTTGTAAGCAGGATTTGCCTAAATCTGGCAAAAATGCTAACAATATTAAGTGCTGCTGGAGCAACATGAATCAGGCTCGGTAATTCGCCACAGCCACGCACCAAACTAGCTCCAGATCACTTCATCTGCTCCATTGTTCGGCATCACCTTTGCCATACTTCAAGAACGACTCGCGTGTACAATTATGGACAGGATATCTCGGTAATGCACCCACTCGGATTGACAGATCTCCGAAACTCGCAAAACATTTCATACAACTGGAGACGCACCTCGAGCAGCACTTTTTGCACTCTGCTGTGTTGAGTATTATGTCGGTACGATCTACTCACTTCCCAAGAAATCACCTCGAATTATCAAATTTGGCTCTACTTCGACTCCATTTCAGGAACACACTGCCTCACCGAGGCAATCCAAGCAAATATGATATGAACCTGACCTACATTTTAAACACCTCATAGTACCGAAGTGCACCAAATTCCCTAAAATAAACCACTTCATTTCAATTTTAGGCCAAACTTCTTACTCCTTTCGTAGCACCCGTAAACCTTGGCACGGCAGTCGACTTTGTGGTGCACTACCGACAGTATTTTTTGCTTTTCGCCTTCCGTCATTAGTCGATCGTCTCTACCATCAACTACGCATTGCACCACTCGCACCACACATACATCTCAGGTGACACTGCAACCAAATCAAGCCACAGTTGCCCCACTTTTCGCCACATTGCTGCCTAATTCACTGCGGCCACTCACCTCCTCCATACTGGCCATGGAGTCACTGTGCGAGGTGTGCAACGTAATGCGATTGAGAGAGGTCGGCGAGGTGGCGGTAACGTGAGTGGAGTCTTCGAACTGATGCATCGAGCCTATTGATAGTGGGCTGGTTACTCCCGCCGACCCCCCCAGCTCTGCCGACCCAAACACCGTTGTAGCCGCAGTTGTCATTGAGTTGCCGAAGGAGCCTGATGCCTCGTTGGCTGCGTGGTAGAGATTGCGTCTTGCGCGGTCGTGCACCTCACGACTGGTGTAGCGCACGTCGAAGGTGTATTCACGGGCTGCAGATTTGAAGGTGACATTTAGTGTGTGTGCGTGTGTGTGTATGTGCATGTATGTGAAACATTTGGTAAGGGAGAGCGTTGAGTCCTTGAAAGCAGTATAAGCATGAGAAGACGTTGTGTAACTCGTTTGAGTTTTCCATCATCAAGCATCGTCGGGTGCTTTCTGCTCTCTTCACTTTAAAGTTGGGTACTTGCGAAGTGATGTCCCACCTACCATCTGTGGTCCGAAGACACGAGGCTGCGTCAGGAGGCTTTCAGCCCTACCGTGTGCTGCTGATACAGTTACTTGCTGACGCTCAGGTCCTCCATCATCGTAGGCGATAAATTGGGCTCTACTCTAGCAGCAGCATCCACAACCACATCAACGAGTACTCTCTCCTTGCCATTAAGTGCGCAAATCCCTACAGTGTTGTTTCAACATCTATAAAATATGCCACTTCTGTCAAGGGATACGAAATGCTCGATTCACCCCAGTCTGTTACTCACCGTACCTGTAACATCTAATGGACATGGTGTATGTGTGCAAAAATCCACACGGCCTTTCGACTGACTTATTATTTTTGTAGAGAAGAACAGATAGGAGATATCTACTGACTCCACGGACACCCTACAACATGCACACAGCTGACATAACAAATGAATGGTGGGGAAGCAAGTGTGCCTGTCTAGAGCTCCTCCGATTCTTGGTCCACCTAAATTAAAGCACATGTGTGAGATTGCTGTACTTATTACACTTTCTCCCTCCAATTGCTCTCCTGACTGATCATGAATCTCTCGTCGATGTATTACATGACCAAAAAGGTGTGTGGCGTTTTTCGTATAGCTCATTATCATGATGTATCGTGTTAAGGGTTGTAGCAGCTTGTGGAATGGCAGATGCATGCTACCATCGTTTGAGTGCAGGCCACTTGAACCATAAATAGGGGTGCCTCGGTCTGTCAGTGACTCAGATCACTCCTTTTTCCTTACTTCTCACTTCACCTCACTTCATCTCGCCTTACCTGACCGTGCTCGCTGACACTTTTCCCTCCCAATTTGTAGTTGTACAGTGTCGGTTGAATACACCTGATGAATGTGAGCCAGACGGACTTGTCGACTCGACAAACTGACCTCAAATTCCTTCCTTTTCTAGAGAAAATCTGCCATGTAGCATCTGACAGAGGTTGGGTAGTGGACCGTACAAATGTGCATACAAAGTTAAAAGCATTAGGTGCTTAAGACAAATTCCCTAAGAGCAAGCGTATGACGTTGAGAAAGACTTTGAATTCTTTGTAGTAATACAAAAATACTTGTCACCATTGCTCAAGCCGTCACGATCCTTCAACCGTGTGAAACATCTACGATGAAGTAACCCCTGGTCAAAGGTAAAACTTGAACAAAGATATTAGCAAGAGGGAACAGACAGCAAGCTTGGAGGTCTGTTTGTATTTCACGTCAATCCGTGAAAATGATTGCGCGTTAGCGTTCCTAGTGTTTTGTTGACTGAGTGGGTTGTGATGAGGAACAACTTTCATGTTCCAACGTTAATCAAGCTTGCTAGCTACTCGTCACGACCACACGGCCCATCCCACCCCGGAGGTTGAGCCTGTTCTATGCGTGCGTGTGGTGCAATGGAGGCGTAATCATTCACCATGAACCATCCGGCCACTTGCTAAAGGTGAACCAAACAATAAATGGATTGACAACTGTCTGTCTACTCAGTGCTACTCAGAATTACTTGGTATGGTACAACTCGATGCAAGTCAAGCAACTCCTGAAGAAGCAATCGTTTGCCGTCCATAGGAGCGCTTTCCACTCTTTTAGATGGGATGTGATCTATGCCATTCCTGGCCAATGGCAATATAACTGTAGCAGAGACGCAGGTGACTTTGGCC